TCCTTGGCAATATGCGTTTGCGCACACACGCACACGCACACACGCACGCACACACACACACACACACACACACACACACACACACACACACACACACACACACACACACACACACACACACACACACACACACACACACACACACACACACACACACACACATATATATATATATATATATATATATATATATATATATATATATATTTATTTATTTATTTATTTTTGACTAGTAAACCAAAAGGAACTCCAGAAACAATCCAAAGTCTCACAATAATAATTTCATGCTCAGTCCTTCATGCAATTGCTAAGTTGGTACTAATTATTGCCAAAACAAACACTCTTGAATATGTATAAATCAACTATTTCTTTAATTGTGTAGCCTCTAAAGGAGTATCCAGAGTTATTAAATAATAATTTAAAGGCTTAACTAGGTTAATTGGGCAAGATATCGGACAACAGTGGTTTGTTCTGTGTCAATTTAAAACAAAAAATGCTAATAATATTGACCTTTTTAATGCTTTTATTCCAGACTAACTAAAAGAAATAGGACTTTCTCCAGAAGAGCGGATATAATTGCAGTGTTAAACATCACTTGGGAAATATTTGAAAGAGAATTAATATTTCACAGGAGAACTAATACATGTATGCTATCCACTAGGGGCCTATTTGGATTAAACAATTTAAATAAATAAGAATTTTTTTTTTTTTTAACTTGCTAGACTTTTTATTAGCAAGTTTGCCTCTTTAAAAAACATAATTTAAACATTGTAAGGCATTTTAACAGTAGTTTAAAGGCTTTGAAAGTTCCCTTTGAAGCAACTTTTGAAGCATATATTCAATAATTGACTTGTCTTCAATAATAACACATTTGAATGATTATTTGAGTTGGGAAATGATTGGCGTTCCCAACATACAAACAGAAAGAATGAGCAAATGCTCTTTGATGACCAAGTAAGGGAATAAATAACTTCAGACAGGCTGTCAGAGAATTATTAAAAACATGAAAAAATCTCTCAGTCAAAAAAGATCAAAAAACTGTCTCTGTGTGAACAGCCGTGGCGTCAGGGGAAGCCAAATAACCTTTCATTGACTACTTGGCAACATTAACACAAACTGTTCTGTAAACAGTGTTTTTACGCCACATAAAAACACTTCGACATATAGCATATAATGTTAAATGCATAAAGACAGATGAAAGCTTAAGAGTCCTCAAAAGAAAGCGAGCGGCTCTATATTTAAGTCACACTTCTGAACTAAAGTAAGTGCTGTGCTCCCGGTGACACTTTTAGACCTGCCTTCAGCTTTTCTTCGTCGTATTTAAAATCTATTCAACTCTCCTGGGTCTTGCTGGCCATCAGAAAATCTATATGGAGGAACAGCGCTGTCTGGTCAACCCGGAAGAAAGATGGTTTTGCTTTACAGTCGGTCACTGACCCGATCAGCTTCGGCTCCGCGGGGACAAACAGGGCCAAAAACAATCTGTCTAACAAAGCCTGTGTAATGAGAGATGCTGGAGGAGTCGCTTATTAAACCCAGAGTAAGCCATAAGCAATTGTGCACTTTTGTTTTGAGTTTTAAATCTAGGTGAGCTTATTATGCAGAGAGAACTAGAAGTGCACCATTATAAATTGATGTGCCTTAAAAGTGTTAACAGCACTGCATAGAAAATACTGTTTAAGAAACAATTATTAGTCCTCCTGTGAAACTCTTTTTCAAATATTTACCAATAGAGCAAGGACATTTTATATTTTTCATAGTGTTTTAATTTGTATTTTACTTCTGGGAAATGTTTTACTTCTTTATTTTTTAGCTGGAATAAAATGAATACATTTAAAAACTGCCAAAGTCAATATTATTAGCTCCCTTTAAAAAAAATGTATTATTTTTTTCGATTGTATATACAGTTGAAGTCAAAATGATTAGCTCTCCTGTGAAATTTGTATTCTTTTAAAAATATTTTGAACACATTTTTAAAAGTAATAGTTTTAATAACTAGTTTCTAATAGCAAATAGATGCTGTCTTTGCCATGACGACAATACATAGCATTTTTCTACTAACCAAGATATTAGTATTCAGCTTAAAGTGCAATTTAAAGACTTACTGTAACTAGGTTATTTTTAAGTAAGCAAGTTAGGATAATTAGGATAACAGTGTTTTGTTCTGTAGGCAATTGAAATCTATATTGTGGAAAGGAATATATTTTTAAAAGCTATTTTTCTCTCTTTTTCTTTTCATTGAACAATTGTATTTGCATTGCTTAAAAGTGATATATATACTGAACTGTGATATGTTTTGCATACTAATGAAGCATTTTTTGCAGAAGTAGATAAAGCTGATTGCCTAAAATTAACTCTGCAGTGAAACTTCTTGTGGGGACAGAATATTTGCAGTTGAGAACTTTTTTTTGTGAACATTTGTTGTGCTGAGCATTCATAGAAAAAGAGGAAGTATGTATGGGTGCGGCCAATGGAGAACTGAAGAATGATTGACAAGTGACGAATCCTAATAAACTCCACCTGTTAATATCAGCTATGAATAAAAGCATGAATCAGGAAATGAAATTTGTTGCACATCCCTGAATGTAACTCTTGCATTGCATTGAGGATAACAGAATTCTGTGAATCGAATTGTTCATTTGTATACAGCAAATTGCCAATATCTTAAACATTGAAGAAAAACCTCTCCTGACATTTTTATTGAAGACGTATGGAATTACGTTTATTTTTCTCAATTAAATTTAGTTACCTTACATCTACTAGATCTTTTGCCAGCACATCCATTTTTATTTTGTGACAGTAATGATTTGCTAATCAATGTGTCACCAGAACTTCCCCTGGTAAGACAACATAGATTTTAGCTAGTCTTGCGGTTCCTGGAAGAATAAGATAATGGAGGAGCAAACTGAGCAACGGGACTATAATTCTCCTTTCTGTATGATACAAGCTGCCATTTTCTATCTGCAGACTTTCATAATCAACAGGAAATGATATCTGGACAATGGCACAAGCTGGAATGATTGCTCGCGTGTGGTGTTAGGATACAGAAATATGTATCATTATCTTTGTCAGGCCTTTTTCACCGATGATCAGAGCAAGTCTTCTCGTCTCTTTCTAAAGGCCGTATATAATCGCTCACGAAAGACGCTTCACAGCTCCAAAATAAAATCATTTCAGACACGACAAGACATTTTTTATAGCCAAAGCTTGAGAGATTCGCTTGTACTAGTCGACCAGAAATCCTGGAAATGCACAAACCAAGAGGACAAACCAAGAGGGATTTCCAAATGTGTGACACAAGCTACAGGAAAGCACCGTTTGATTAGGAACAAAAGAGAAACATCGCACAACTTTGTAAATGTTGAAAAAGCCTCCTGGGATGCTCAAAACAAAATTAGATCTGCTTTCTCAAAAAGGAAGAGAAACGAAGAGAGAGAGAAAAAAGATCAAATGTGTGTAGATTTGTATGCTAAATACAGCATAATGAAAATGAAAATATCTACTGTAGTTGGTTTGTGGACACTGAAAAGCTGGAATTACTGGTGAAATTTATAAACAATTAGAAAGAGAACCACAAATTATATACATTGAATTAAATCAGATTTTTTGAAGTAGAAACATTTGTTGTAAAATACAATATATGATTGTTAGAAATGTGAGCTGAACCCGAAATTGCAGGATGTAAAGTCAATTGTAAAATGTAAACAGAAATTCAAGATACAAAATGAGAATTGTATGCATTTTCTCTGTGTGGAATGTGCAGTTAGAAATGCAATGAATTCAGAACTGTGAACTCAGAACTCTGTTCTGCAATTCAGCATTTTGAGCTGTAAAGATATTATTGCAAGCTATGTATTCAGAATTGCAAGATATAAAAGTTATATGTAAGTGATGAGCTGTGATTTAAACCTTAAATTGCAAGTAGTAAACTTAAAATGTTGAGAATCAAACTTAAAATTGGGAGCACTAAACTCAAAATTATAAGATTAAAACCTAAAATTGCGAGCACTGAACTCAAAATTATAAGGTTTAAACAAAATTCTGAGCACTAAACTCAAAATTAGAAGATTTAAATTTTAAATTGCGAGCACTAAACTGACAATTAGGAGAATTAAACTTAAATTTACAAACAGAACATTCAAAATTGTGAGCAGTTAACACAAAATTAATAGAAACTCAAACTTATTACATTTAAACTTAAAATTGAGAGCAGTGAACAGAACTACGAGGTTCAAACTTAAAATTGTAACCAGTAAACTCTGAATTATGAGGTTTAAACTTAAAATAGTGAGAACTAAACTCAAAATGAGGAGATTATACATAGAATTATGAGCACTAATCTCAAAATGATTACAGTAGATTATATTTAAATATGCAAGTAGTAAACTCCAAATTATTACATTTAAACCTAAAATTATTAGATTTAAACTTAGTTTGCGAGCACTAAACTCAAAATGATGAAATTTGACCTTAAGATTGCAAGCACTAAACTCAAAATTATAAGATTATACCTAAAATTGCGAGCATAAATTTAAAACGATTACATTTGAACTTAAAATTGTGAGCACTAAAGTTCAAATTATTAGATGTAAACTTAAAATTGTAAGCAGTAAACTTAGAATTGTGAGCTGTAAACTTAAAATTACGAGTGGTAAAATCAACATTACGAGCACTAAACTCAAAATGACGAGACATCAACTTAAAATAGCAAGTTGTAAACTCAGAATTGCAAGATGTAAAAATAGACTAGTAGGTTGTTAATTATGAAAAATAAATGAAGTGTGTAATACAAACAGAATTGTGAGATCAACTTTTCCCCTCTGAATTGAAATCAACACATGCATTGTTGTGGCTTTTCTTGTCAATACAAAGCTCACTGATGGCATCATCTGTTTATCAGCAGATAATATTAAAACTATTAGAAACATAGCTAATTGCTGGCTTACATTGTTCATGGTAAATGTTTTACTTAACATTCATTTCCTCCTCTATACACTCAGGGTCCATTGCGAGATGCTCCTACATCAAGTACCACTACTCTTCGGCCACAATACCCAAGGATCTCTCTTATAACATCACCAAGACCATCCGTCAGGACGAGTGGCACTCTCTACGTAAGTACCACAGCTTTATACCACCTTCAAGATGCAATAAGAAAAACCACTACTGTCTCTATTAGAGTGAATAAACAGAACGAACGCAGCTTTAATGTCTAGTTACATTCATACCTCAAAGCAGTGCATATTTGAAACATTAGACGTGCATTATAAAGAGCATCATCCAAACAGTAATCATCCCCTACCCAGTGATCTCATGATATGTAAGTGGAAATGCAACATGTTGTAATCTCGTTGATTTATTTGGGGCAGGCTCTCTGCAGAAATGGATGAGGTGACTTGTTGTTGGTTTGTGGAAGTAGGGTACATATCTCAAAGTGCCTTGTTGACCCACTTTTTGCACCATGCACCATCCTGTACATAACAAAAAGTGGGAATTATGGAGATGCTTTAACAGAGATGTGGGGGGAAATGATCTGTTATGGAGAGTGAGACGTTACTATCTTACGCACAGTAACAACTGTCATTCATTCATTCATTTTCTTTCGGCTTAGTCGCTTTATTCATCATGGGTTATCCAGCATTTGTTTGACAGAGCGGATGCCCTTACACACTTATTCACACACATACACGAGGGCCAATTTAGTTAATTTAATTCACCTATAACGCATGTCTTTGGAATGTGGGGGAAACCGGAGCACCTGGAGGAAACCCACACGAACACGGGGAGAACATACCGTAACAATTGTGTGATTGTAATTTTTAATCAATTTAAGTCCATGCTAAATTTATTTTATTTTATTAATTATTTAAATTATTTATTTATTAATAATTTTCTTTGTTTTTTTAAACATATGAAATTAAAACAAATATACAATTTGACCAATAAACATTTGCACAACAATTGACAATAAAAGTTACAATATGCAAACAAAACATAAACAAGTAAAATAATAATAATAATAGACAAATAAAATAAGTCAATAATAATAATATAAAATAAAATATAAAAAATTAATTAAAAACAAAATACTGTCATTCACTTTTAATCTAAATTAGTGTAATACTCGTCAATGCAAGTTGTTATATATATATATATATATATATATATATATATATATATATATATATATATATATATATATATATATATATATAGTTTAATTAAGTGAAAAATGCATGCATAGTTGAAATGACAGACATAGTGAGATACTTTCCCTATTTTCTTTTAAACATTTGCAAGGAAAACAAGAACAGAAAATAGTACAAATAAATAAATAATGAATGAATGAATGAGCAAATGAATGAATGAATGAGCAAATGAATGAATGAATGAGCAAATGAATGAATGAGCACATGAATGAATGAATGAATGAGCAAATGAATGAATGAGCAAATGAATGAATGAGCACATGAATGAATGAATGAATGAATGAATGAATGAATGAATGAATGAATGAATGAACAATCGAATGGATACACATATAAATACATAAAATGCTGAAGGAGATAACGAGAAAGATTCAAATGGATTAAGTCAATTTTGGGTAAATATTTGTATCAGTTTATTTATGGATGGATAGATGGATGGATGGATGGATGGATGGATGGATAGATGAATATACATTTAAATACATAAAAGGCTGGAGGAGATAATGCGAAAGATTTAAACGGATGAAAATCAATCCTTGCTAAATATTTCTATCAGTTTATTTAAATTAAATCTCAACTGGGACCAAGCTTGAATGCTAAAATACCATTTATTATTACTATTTCTGAAGTGTAGTAAAATATAAAAATCACAGGTTAGATATTAGAGTTTTATATAGGGAGAGTCGATAATTTAAAAATTATTTAATATGTTAAAATAACACAAGTCACTCTCATTAGTGTTCATAAATGGTACATGCCGATGAAATGTTCTTAAAAATATTAAACACACAAATCAGTAATCTTATATTTTAGATGTATAATAATACGTTTACATAAAATACTAACAACAACAAAAAACATTTACAGATTTTGGAATTTTAATAACCTATTTTAACATCATAAGTCATTTTATTCAGTGCCTTTATGCATTCGTAAGCGGTGTTTGTTGCGAATGCTCGAGGTTATTATGAATTAAATGCATAGTAATCATTTTATTTTGGGCGTTCATTTCACATTCATCTCACCAGATTAAGTGGGCTTCGCTTTGGGAATAAATTTTCATTAATTTTAGGACACAAAGAATTAGTTTAAGGAAGCCTACAGTAAGAGCTCATCCAAACGTGGCTGTTCTGCAATAAATGCAGCTTCTCTTTTTTGGCTGATGGCCAAAGTTGTGACACTGCTTTTCACTACAGTTTACCAAAATTTGCACTGAGTGTGGAGTGTGTAAATCTGCACAAAAGACTTTCTCCCTGGAGGGTATTGGCTTGTTTAAAAGCCTCTTAAAGGGGACTCATCTTGAATATCAGCCTTGTTTTGTGTTTTAGTGCTATAAAATGGTGCATCTACCAATACATTCATTCATTTTTATATCCTTCAGCTTAGTCCCTTTATTCATCAGGGATCGCCACAGCGGTATGAACCACCAATTTTTCTAGAATATGTTTTACACAGCGGATGCCCTTCCATCTGCGACCCATTATTGGTAAACATACATACATACTTACTCACACACATGCACACAGTTTTTTATAAACTTACTGTCACTTAATTTGCACATTTCCATCCACAGCACAACTGCAGCAGTTCAGCATTTCTGTTTACTGGCTGTAGCAGCTTGAGATTTACAAAGTCTGAGCCAGAAAAAAACATTACAGATATTCAGTTGTTGGAAGTTTTAAGTCTCTATAGACTCCCGACATCTGAGACACTGGGGATGTTTTGGTTGAATTAAAAGAAGTAGGTTAAAGTGTTATGTGTTTGCACTAAATGTAGTTTACTCAGGACTGTTATACCAATGAGTGTCCATTGATAATGCACAGCAAATCAGGGTCTATACCAGTGCTTCGTGTTTTAATTTCATAACCATAACAAGTTGGTCACTTCATATTTTGAGAATGCCTCCAAATTTATTTTCTGAATTTGATAATAACATGCTTTGCATTGTGTCTAAGTGTAATATATTCTCAGAAACCAGACTTAAAAACAGTTTCATTACAAACACATATTTATTATGCACGATATAGTCAGGTGACAAACTTTTTAATCTTTCTGTAAAGATTAGAGAACTGCACTATTAGTGTATTGTTTATTTGCACTTTGTAACGGAGCAGTAACAGGCTAGTCTCTGAGTTAAATCAACATCACTCCTCAACAACTACATACACATTTCTGAAGCCTCCTGCAGCCTAGAAGTTTTAACCTCTTCTTCTCTACCATAGTCTGATTGTAGAAGGCTTTAAATCCACTACAGATCATCTCTGACACTTTGGCTGTCTAAAATTGCTTTTAATTTATTTTTAATGGTCCCTACATTACGCATTTTGTTGACTATATAAGTTACACTGCAAATATATGCCAACTAATTCTCATCAGAGTATTATTAGACTGTGTCCTTAATATCTACTAATATTGATCCACCAACAGATGTTCTATTAAAAATCACAAACCCTTTGCAACATATTTCAAGAGCACTTTAACCAATTACAATGGGTACCAAAGTGCTGTACATAAACACACAAAATACATGCAAACAAGCATGGAGCCAAAATATATAAAGTCACAACACATGACTAAAAGCTAAAGAAAACAAGAGTGTTTTCAGTGACCTTTGAAATGGCTCCGAAGTAGGAGAAGTCTTGGAGCTGCTACTAAAAAAAGCTCTATCACCTCGACAATTCAAGCGTGATCGTCGCCATCAAAATAAAGTGAGACGACTTGTTTTGTTGTTTCTATAGTGTAAGATTAGCATACAAAGGCTCCGCCCTCTTCTGTAAAGCAGCAGCTCATTTGCATTTAAAGTGACAGAAAAACGACATGCACTCTAAAAAAATATATCCGTAAATTAGCAATTTTACATATTTTGTGATTGATATTTTTATTTTGCCTCATTTATTTATGCTTATAAATTGCATTATGCGACCTTAATCTTTCCTCCAACAACTTTTAACCTTGAAAAGTTGGAAAAAAGTGACTTTTATTTACAATTTGAATAGTTTAAAGTGAAATATTATCTTGGATAGTGTTATATTACGTATATCGTAATATATTACAATATAAACATCTTGTAATAAACTGATACTACATTTTCTGTTATTTTATAGACTTACTTTAGTACTTCTTATACATTATATTATTTCAAACTACTAAAATGTCAATAAAAGTCACTTTGTTAAACTGTACATAGCAAATTTGACAAGCTTTAATACATAATCTGTAGGATATTTCGAGCTGAAACTTCACAGACACATTATGGGGTCGTCAGAGATTTATTTTACATCTTACGAAAACGGGCATAATATATGTCAGTGGTTTGAAGCTGTGGTGTATCATGCACCCGGCATGCCCTCAAACTGTCATGCGGTCACAGTCTAGTGGAGATCAGCATCTGTCAGGTGACGGAAGACACTCTCCTGTAACCCCAAACCCTGCGGTATCCGAACAGTCTCCATCTTTCTCTGGCTCTCCTCGATCCAGCATGGAGACGTATGAGAGCAGAGCTGCGGGAGCGAGACGGAGAGTAATACATCAAAGACCTCTGAACTCTTCACACTCTCCATTTCTAGCTCAGAATCTGCTTCACATGAGCCTATGATCCTGCCAGTTCACTCTCTGATATCAGGCACACTGATCACAGACCTGAAGCAAGAAGGAGTTTCAATCTGGAAACTGCGGAATGTTAAGGCTGAACAATTTTTGGGAATTTATTCAGAAATAAATCTGTATTATGTATATTTTATTACTATTAACAGAGCATACAGGCTGAAATAACAATATAAGGAGATATATTAATTCAACTACACCAACCTCTATTAACAGTCTCTTTAAACTGAGGTATCCAATGAAAGAAGTTAACAGAAAAAATACAGTATCTAGAATGAGATCAATAAAATACTATTATACAA